TCTCACTGGCCCTGTGTTCTCATTTTTGAAGAAAGAAAGAAAGAAAGAAAGAAAGAAAGAAAGAAAGAAAGAAAGAAAGAAGGGAGGGAGGAGGGGAGAGAGAGAAAGAAAAGAAAGAAAGAAAGGAAGAAAGAAAGAACGAAAGAAAGAGAAAGAAAGAAAGAAAAAGAAAAGAAAGGGAAGACTGAGGCTGGATTGGTCACCTGGCTGGGAGCCTCCAGTTAATTCTATTTGGTATGGCTCATGGACACCCCCATCAGTACTAGACTTCATCATGTGCCATAACCACCAGGCCTGAAGTTATTTGGGTAGCAGTAATTGGGGTGCTGAAGTTGGGTGAACCTGAACCTTGATCAGCCAGGGTCCTTGAGGATCTGATCTTTGAGGCATGAAAGGACAGGGCTCAGCTATGTTGCTGATCTGCCAGGAAAGGGGTTTCCAGAAAAGTAGCGCCTGAGGCAGCTTGATCTGGAAACGGCCTTGGGTACTGGAGGGAGGTCTAGAAAGTGTGGGAAGGAAGGGAGGAGTGTAGTTGGCAAGGATTTCTACTCCTGGATTGGATTAAGCCACTCACCTCCCAGCCCAGGCCTTTGAGGGGACAAAGGAAACCAAGAAAAGCCCCAAGACTGGAAGATAAATGCTGGAACACAGTGCCTCTCCTCTGGGAGTGCTTACCAGCCACGGTTTCGACAGTCAAAGGCAATGACTCCATTTTCATCTGGTGTCCACTTTATCCCTGAGGAAATAGAGGCTGTATCTTTCCCTCACCAGCTCACTGAGGCTGTCAGGACCCCTGGGCTACTGCTGACTCCCTGCCCCCTTTTCCCCCAGGATAGTCTCTGCTTCAGACATGGAGACTGTGGTGAAGACACTAAATATCAGCCTGTAAATTGAGGCAGCTGGTGAGAAGGGAGGTCACCTTTACAGAGATACCTACCTTCCAAACTGTCAGAGCCAGCGTAAGAACTCTCAGATGTGCTTGGGGCTCCTAATGAGGCTAAATCTCCTTTTGGCTGGGGAAGGAAGAACTGTGGGAAGCCATCTGGCCGTGGACACATGGGTGAGAGCCAGAGCTCTGGCCTGCAGCCACCTGCCTCATTCAGGTGGCTCATTAGCATTCATGCGCGTTCCCGGACTGAGAGAAACATGCTGCGCAACTTGAGGTCAGGAGCTCCTGGCACCAGGCATCATAGAGCAACTGTCCCCTACCTGGATGAAATGAGATCTTGCTTGGACTCCAGTAGAGTGCCCGGGTAGATTTCGTACTCTTGATCCAAACAATAGTTCGGATAAATGCACAGAAAACACTAGCACGATCCACAATACATCCTCTGTGGGGAAAGACTTCACGATCAGGACTAATTAACGTAAAGAACAGATGGAATTGTAATATGCTATGCAGAGTTTAGAAAAAGCACTGTGGCAGAATCCAGCAGTCTAGAGGCCTCTGCCGGGCTTCCTGCTCTGCAGCAGGTGGTGTCAGAGGAGCTGCGGTGTCAGGAACATTCCCTGAGGCTCACTAAGTATAATGGAGACCCAAGGGCGAGGGAGGAGAACAGAGCAGCCAGAAGCCAAGGTCTTGAAAGCAGGAAGCAGGACAAGAGTGATGGACAGGCTTATTGTGATGGGAACTGAGCTGCATGGCTCTGCTCTAGACTGCAGGTGCTCAGAAGAGCAAAGCCCTCCAAAGGCCACATTCTGACAGCAGCAGTGTCTTACAGAACTTGATCTCAGAAAAGAACTGAGGAGGAGAAGTTGAGTCTGACATTCTTGGCTTGAATCAAAACTTTAGAAGAGGGTTTTAGTGGTCCTGGATGCTTTACCTTCGAGTTCAAGCAGAAATGGAAGTTTCTTCCCTCCTTCCCTCTCTCCTTCCCTCCTGGTTTCCCAAGTCAAGCCTACTGGATTCCCTCAGAGCACAAGCAGCGCTGGCCACATACCAAATACAAGAGAAGTAGGGCCCCCGTGAGTGAGAAGCAGTGAAAACAAGGCCATTAGGTCTGTCTTCTCAGGAATTACAGATGATGCAACTGCCAAATACAAAATCAAGGATGGGCATAGGAAATCATTTGGATCTGAGATGCCCCCAAATGTTCATGTATTAAAGGCTTGGTCCCATGGTGATCTTGCGAGGTTGTGGAATCTTAAGAAGTAGGGCTTAATGAAAAGAAGTTAGGTCATTAGGGGTGTCCTGTTGAAGGGGATATTGGGACCCTGGTCCCTTCTTCCTTCTCTCTTGGCTTCCCTGGCACCATAAGGTGAATAACTTTACCATGTAATCCCATCATGATGTTTTTTACTGTCATGAGCCCAAAGTGACAGGACCGAGTGACCATGGACTAAAACCTCTGAAACTATGTGCCAAAGTAAACCTGTCTTCTTCATAGAACTGATTATTTCAGGCATTCTGTCAGACTGATGAGAAACTCATATACAGTATACTTGGGAGATCACAAAGAATATACAATGAGATGACTCAGTGGTTAGGAACTCTGGCTGTTCTTGCAGAGGACCCAGGTTTGGTTCTCAGCATTCACATGGCAGCTAACAACCACATGTAACTCCAGTTTCAAGGGATCTGATACTGTCTTCTGACTTCTGTGAGCACTGTATGCATGGGTACACTTACATGCATTCAGGCAAAACACTCATGCACATAAAAAATTAATAAAATAAAAAATGAAGAATAAATTAGGTGTGCTGGCACTTTCTTTTAACCCAGCACCCAGGAGGCAAAGGCACTTGGATCTTTGTGAGTTCAAGGCCAGTCTGGTCTACATGGCAAGTTCCAAGCCAGCTAGGATTATGTAGTGAGACCTTGTATTAAAAAAATGTAGACATATCCTTAAAATTATGGCTTTTAGAAATGAAAAGAACAGTTTAGGTTGCAAAAATAGCCTAGCAAGAAAACAAAGTAACCAAAGAGAAAATTCATACGTTTGAAATAGTAATCCAGATTCTTGTTGACTCTAGAATGGGAAGCTCTAATACACGTCTTATTGGAGGCATGGAAAGAGAAAAGGGAGAGCTGCGAGGAAGATGGTGAGTAGAGATATTGCGGGGCTGGAGAGATGACTCAAAAAGTGCTCAGGGAGGCAAGAGCTGCCAAAGCCATCTGGAGAGTCTCTCCTTGCCTGCCTGAAGAGGAAAGGAACCCAGCCAGCTGACTGGTAACAGAAAGAGGGAAAGAAGAGTATGGAAAAGTTATTGAAAAGTTATAGCTACAATGGAGGAAACAGAAATCTAAGGAACATGGTGAACATTCAAAACGAGGGATGGTTCCTGGGGGGCTGGGTGCAGCTCAGTGGAAGGATGCTTGGCTAGCAGGCCCAAGGCCTTGGGTTCCATCCTCTGGCCCTGAACAGCAGCAACAGAAAGTTCCTGTAAAGACTAACCAATAGACAAAGAAACCACTTGGAAATGAATGAAGAAAGTAGAATGTTATAAAAATACGGGAGACCCAGTTACAGACTGAGCAGAGATTCACAAGATGATAATCATGGACTCATATGAATTAATTTGAAAACTCAGATAAAATGGATGAATTTTGAATAAAAGGTATTTCATTAAATGTTAAGAAGAAATAGAAGCCATTTAAAGTTTAAGTATTAAATAAACTGAAAAAGAAAAAAAATTGGTCTACATGATTTTAAAGATGACTTTTCTCAAGGTTGTTTCAAAAGTGAAATCATTCTAATCTTATTCAAATACTTCCTGAAAACCAACACGGACAATATAAGAAAGGAAGAGGGAGGGAGGGAGGGAGGGAGGGAGGGAGAGAGAGAGAGAGAGAGAGAGAGACTTTCACTGTATATCCCAGGCTAGTCTCAAATTCATACAGTCCTGCTGCCTCAGCTTTCCCAAGTGCTAGAATTAGAATTTCTCTCTCTCTCCCTCCCTCTCTTTCTTTCTCTCTCTCCCTCTCTCTGTATCTCTCTCTGTCCCCTCTTCCCTTCCTTCCTCCCTTTCTTTCTCTCTCAGACTGGCTTGGAACTTCTTACTGCATAGCTCAGGCTGGCCTGGAACTTTCCTCAGTTCTTTGGCCTCAGCTCTGGAGTTCTGGGATTATAGGAGAAAGGAAATTCAAATGAGCATATCACTTATAAGTACAGATGCAAAAATCCCCCAAAAGCATTAGTAAACTAAGTCTAGCAATACATAAAAAGATTCACTGTGATCAAGTCAGGGTATTTATAGGAGTGCAAAGATGGGTTAATATTAGAAAACCCAATAGTTAAGTGGGTGAATACAATATGCATTTCTGAGATAAGGAAACACACACATCTAATACTATATGAAGTGGCATTCATCTTAATGTGTGATCAGGAAAATGCAATGTCAGATCACAGTGAAATACCATTCTATACTAACAAAGAATTTTAAGGTTTAGCAATACCCAGAACTAAAGACAGTGTGAAGGAGTAGGCTATTTTATTCATTGTTTGAAAAACTGAGTACTCAGATATCTTAAGACCTATCACTTTTATTCCTAGGTATAACTTAAGAGAAACTCTTGTAATATGTCTTAAAAGGCACACATAAGCTATTCACAGGGCTAGGAATGTAGTTCAATGGTAGAGTGCTTGCCTAGCTGGTACAAGATCCTCTGTTTGACGACCAACAGTACCACAAAGAAAAAGAGATAAAAAGAAAGAGAAAAAGGCACGTTCACAGAATACTCTTCCTAAAGGGAAAGACAAGAATGTTCTCACTCTGATGGGATAAAGAGGGTGGAGAGACTGTGACACTGAGGATGTGACAACCCAGATGAATTTTAGAGCCATCAAACTGAATGAAAAAGCAAGTTTTGAAAGTGCATATACGAAACCAGCTTTATGTATTTTAAAAACAAGCGAAGCGAAGAAAACATTCTGGGAAGATAAGAAGGCAGAGTAGGAGGCCCTGGAAGTCTGCCCACCCAGACAATAATTGCACGGTTAGAATATGCTGATATCACTATTTTGGAACTCTTGAGTCTATTAAAGGCTTTCAATTTACAAGAGAAGTCTTTGAAGGCAAATTGCAGTTAGTGTCTGTCAGTTTTAGCTCTTAGCATAGTAGCTGCCCCCTCCCACCTCAGTTCTGTGGCAGGCAGCTGTGCATGTATTCTTAGAGTAGCACAGCTTATGGGAGTTAAGTTTGGTCCAGAAGACCCTGCCATACCAAAATAGAGGATTCGTTCTCTGATTGCTGCATCTGATTTCTGTGGTGCACATAAAAAGATGGTTGGCCATTTTTGTTGCACCTCCCCCTTTGGCATGAGTCCATCCCCTAACTAAAGTTACTTCTAGGGAATTTAAAGGCAGGCATTCCCCTTTCCTCCCATTCATTTAGCTATTTTGGAAGCCAGACCTTAGAGAGCAGAACATTTAAAAACAACTGCCTGTATGTGGAGAATTGTGAAGTGAGCATGCCCAGAAAAAGGCTCAGAAAGATCTAAGACCTTAAATTTATACTTCTGACTGACCTTCAGGGCAGAATTAGCTTAAAATGATAAGACAAAACAATATCAAATTCTGAAGAAAGGAATGTGATTTTCAGAATTACTACACTATTAGATTTAAATGCCATTTTCAATAATAGTAATAGTAGTAATAATAACAACAACAAAACCATCAGGCATACAAAGGAATAGAAAAGTATGGTCCATTGAAGGGAAAAATAAATGGATAGAAGCTATCTCTGAAAAATTCTGGATGGTAGATAAAGCAGACAAAGGCTTTGTGACAGTCTCCA